CATCAGTTTTTGGTGTCTCTCTTCGTCTGATGCCTACCCTTTGACCTGTCCAGCAAGGGAGGCCCTGCCAGTAGCTACGCTACCGCTGGTATAGCTCTCAGGGTCCTTGGCATACTCAAACCCCCTCACCACGATAAGGTGGAGACACCAACGAGGGAGGCTACTAACAGAGAGAATAAAAATAATAATGAAGTTTTCAGTGTGCTAACTTGAAGAGGCAGTACAGGAAACTCATGAAAAATCATGCACATGAACTATACATTGTAGAGTGGGTGGACAACATCAAACAAAGTTGTGTAATGAATCAGCTAGTTGTCATATTTCTCTAGAGAATACCTTGAGCTCTTTGATTAGTGTTGCACAAATTTATTATTATTATGTTGCAGTGGGTTCCTCAGTGAGCTGGAGAAATGTGGACTGGATCCAGTTCTTGTGGCACAGTCCTTTGTAAGGAACAACATGGGGTTTTCTATATACACACAATACTGCACTAATTATCCAAGGTGAGTACAATCCTTTGATTAAATCAAAAAGAGTGAGAAAGGTAAGACATGTAACATGCATCAGGAAGATGTGGTATATATAAAAGTTCAATCACACTACCTTAAGAGAACAGACTTTTGAGATACTGAGGTGTATATGGAAGGATGGCGTAAAAATTACCTGAGAGGGACTTGGGAGTAGGTTTATTGATGGGGTTTTGTGAACACAGTAAACAACACAAAATATTACATTGTAGCATTATGTTGCTGTACTGTTTTGTATTATAGAGTTCCTAAAGCATGTTATCCTTACACAGGGATCAGTGTTGTACACAGACTTTATTCATGGCACATCTAGTCGCTTATTGAGTGCATGTTTGAAACGTGCTTGGTCACCATCAGACCTTAAATCTTGTTGCTTAAGTATAAGGGAAAGTCAGTAGATAGGTCATAAATGGATATAAAACATAAAAGAAATGATATTTGAACCTGAGAGAAAAAATTTATTTCTCAACATATCCTTCACCAACATTGATACACTTGTCCAATCACTTTACCAGTGCGTCAAATCCTGTAGCATAGGAGTCTTTTGGCTGTTGTCTCAGCCACTTCCGTGCCTGTGTTTCATCCTCTTCATCATCAGTGAACGTTTGCCACCAAGGTGTTTTTTTAGCATAACAAACATATGGAAGTCACCAGGGGTCAAGTCTGGGCTGTAAGGTGGGTGTCCAGGAAGTTTCGACTCTAGTTCTTGAATTCCCTCCTGGTTTGCTCAGGCTGTATAGGGTCTGGCAGTGTCATGTTGAAGCATTACCCCTCTTCCTAGTTTGCCTGGACGTTTTCTGCAAATTGCATCCAAAAGCTTCAACAGAACTTCACAGTATGATGCAGATTTTACGTTTTCACCACACTTCTGAAAATGGGCTAACAGTACTTGCTGAGAATCCCAGAACATGGTAATTTTTTCTCTGTCCTTCAGTTCTCTGGGCACCCACCATGTGCACACTTTTTTGAAACTTCACATGATCATGCATTATGCTGTATGTTAAACCATGGGAACAGCAGTTGCTTCTGTCACAGTCTCAGAAGGTAGACCAGGTAAGGCATCATCTGGGACTTCCAAACGTCTTTGAGAGATTTTCTCAACCTGGTTATGAACTGCTTTACACGACAAACACTTCCAACCCTAAATGGGAAACATTTGTTTATGAATAGCCTTTGCATTGAGTCCTTTTGTCCAAAAAAATGCACAAAAGAACACTTCTCTTCTGTAGTATATCCTCAGGCATGGTTGCTATTTTGACTATTGAAGCCAGCCTATGAACATGTGCATGTGTATCTGATACCTGGACTGTCATGAAACTTGACTGTGCTGCTACCTAGTGATACACACACAAAACCTGTTACTTCCATTACAGCTGTTTTAGTTCCATTTGTTACCTATTTACTGTCATGATTTTGAGTGGCTGTATGTGGGGGTTTGGATTGAAGACAGATTTTTTAATTACTTCAACAAATGACTCGTGACTACACATAGTTTTAACAGTCTCACTGAATTGTACACTCCTAATATCACTTTAACTACAGCATACACAAAGTGTTCTTAATCATCACTATTTTTTCCTGGTAACTGCTTCTAACAGTGGAGATTTTTCGGCTTTCATGCTACACCATTGCCGGCCGGCCATTGCTCACAACTGAACTAACTGCTCCGATTATGTTTTCTCTTCAGAGGCCCCTACAGTTCTCTCGGTGTTTCAAGTGACTGACTCGCAGGTAACCGGCGATTTCACACCAACCTTGCAGTAGTCTTTTCTTCACAGACGGACTCTCAACTCTTCTTTGCCATCCTTAATTTCTTCTTTAATTTCCTGTAGATTGGCTTTCACTTGGCTTCCATCCTGGCCAGCATTTCTGCTTGGTTGGCTATCATTTAGCCCGGTATTTCTTCGTGGATTTTTGTTTCTGCTTGGTTGTGTCCATCATGGCCAGCAGGCGTTCCATCATTTGTTCCATCTTTGTAGTATGGCGGTATAATGATCAAGATCAAATGCAGTTTTCAGTTCAACCACTTTTGACACCAGTTGTCACCAGAATGTCTTGCTGGCACCTGAATAATGAGACAGATTTTAGGTATATTTTGAAAGTCGGTGCCTGGTGAGTTTGAACAAAAAATAGGGACCTTTCATAGGGCCTTCAAACACAAAATTGCTATTTTCTTGAAAATATGTAAAGTGATTTTGATTAAATTTAAGTAGTAAGTAAAACTGCATAGGTGGGTAATTGTATGACCTGTTGTTGGCCAGGTTCTTATGTGAGGAAATGTTTGATGTTTTTGCATTGATTTTTTTTAACTTTGTAAAAAGCATTTAGTCTATACAATAAATGTAGGACATTCATCATAATGACAAAAGCCAGAGAGAACTACTTTTAACTAGTGAATGTTAAAACTTTTTTTTTTTTTTTTGAATGGAGCTCTTAAAATTTGTATTTGGGTTTCTACCAACAGCAGCAATAATTTATGTTTCATACTAAGGAATGCTTGTTGTTTCTACTGTGTTTAGGCATTTGAGTTCTTACTAGCAATAACATAATGACAAGTTTTGTATTTTCGCTTTAAAGGCCTGATGGTGACTGACCACCAGGCAGACGTTGAAAGGTAATGCTCTAGGCTTGTATTTGGTTGGTGCTTGATTCAAATCTTGGGCTGGACCATGGCTATCCTGTCTGAGGTTTCTTGTTATTTTTCTCAGTCCATGCAGTCATGCTGGGATAGTACCTCAATTAGACCACAGCTCTTCCCTTCTAGACCATCCCTAATTTATCAGCCATTCCCAATTTTAGAACTATGTACTCTTGATGCTGAAAGCGTCATTAAATACCCTATGGAAAAGAAAAGATGACCAAGCAATGTAATATGTAGCTGAAATATTGTATTTAAGCATCCTGTTACACTCTATACAATATATGATATAAATTCCGTCCTAAGTGTAACAATTTATTGTAGGTCTTTCGTTTTGCTTTCTTCTACACTACATGTTTCGGCCGCAAACGGCCACCATCAGGTGTATACACTCACGTAGCTGTTACACTGCACCCAGTTTAAAATTTAAAAACACACAGGTCTTCCCAATTGGCTAACAGGATCTACTTCGCTGATATTTGTCTGATTTGTACATCATCTTCACCCACACAAGTCAATTTTGACATTCATGAACTGGCACTTTTAAAATCTTCAGTTCCAATTTTAGAAAATTCCTTTAAATTTTTTTTTCTTTTTTCAATTTTTCAAATTTAAAATTCTCAGGGTTACTTGCCCCCCATCTATAGTGCTGCAGTGGCTACTTCTTGTTTTCAGCACTGTACAGGTGTTATTCTGCGTAGGCTCCCTGTGTGCGTGCCGCTGCTTATCTTTACTATGTGTGCTGAAAAGTATCTCATATGTGACTTGAAAAACGTTTTGTGTATAACATTGACTGCTGTGTAGGGATGGTAGTGTGTAGTAGGCAAGGAACGTTTAGACTCCATAAAAGTGTGGGATTTCTTGATCACCAGAGCAACTTCTCAATTTCTCAAGGATAATCTTCCACCATTGATTTAGTTCCCTAGTTAGTTAATTTGTTAGTCAATTTTTTAGTCAATTTGTTAATTATTAGTGCCGTCCCTGAATATAGCTGTTTGGACCAGTAGATTTTTACTGAAAATTTGGAGCTCTACATTTGGCTGTCTGGTCCAAACAGAATGAGTACGGTTATAAATGAATAAACCTGGATGGGCACATCCATGGGTATAGAAGGTTATGTGTACCGCAAAAGTTGTAATGCCCCCAGCTTGTACTCAGATGGCTATCTGTTTAGATCTCATGTGAGATATCAACTGTCCTGACTGAATCTTTTTTGTGGTGAAGCTCAGGTAAATGTCACAATAGCACATGAAATTGGACCAAATACTGCTTCCTTTGATGTTCTTTCCAAGTTATATTATCCACTAATCATTCTACAATTCTGAACTATGACAACATCATTAAGTAAACCATAAATAAATAAATAAATAAATAAATAAATAAATAAATAAATAAATAATAAATGCAATATTACTTGTGAAAATCTCAGTGATCATTGATGCAATATCTGGTATAACTGAACATCCTCGTCTGTAGTGAAGGAAGTGGAAGAGGTAATCTTTTCATTAGGAGTAAAGAAATGTGGAGTCAATCTGAGGGCTGTGGGGAGACTGTGCCTCCAACAGACTATTCAGTGATGGGTTGGCTTTTTGCCTTGAAGACATTCAAGTACTCATTCTCCTCATACAAATAGTCAAATATGACCAGGACTGATTTTTTTTTTAAAAAAATCATAATTGCCGAACACTTACTTGCACATATCAGTCTTCAACATACTCCCCTCCGGAGTCAACACATTTTTTCCAACGTTCTGGAATCATCCTGATGCCCTTTTCAAAAAAGACTTGTGTTTGGCAGGGTATCCACTTCTGAACATTCTGGATGACGGTGTCATTGTCCACAAACCACATGCCTTGCAAGTCTGATTTGAGTCTTCCGAACAGGTAGAAATCACTTGGGGCCAAATCAGGACTGTACGGCGGATGTGTCAGAAGGTTCCATTTCAATTTCCGGAGGGTTTCCATTGTTGTTTTGGCTGTATGGGGGTGTGCATTGTCTTGAAGGAAGGCTACCCACTTTCCACCTGTCTTGGATCGGATCTTTTCCTTCACGTCTGTTGGCAGGAGGTCTGAATAATAAGCTGCATTGACTGTTCTGGCATCTGTCAGAAAGTCTACATGGATAATCCCCCTGCCAGTCTCAGAAGAACGTTGCCATCACTTTTCCTGCTGAACGGCTCCTCTGCGCTCTCTTGGATTTGGGAGAACTGGTATGCTGCCACTCACGTGATGACTGCTGGGACTCGGGAATGAAGTAGTGCACACATGTTTCATCGGTGGTCACTATAGACTTAAAAAATGCATCACCTTCATCTTCAAACTGCTGTAGGAGACGACTGGCAGCTTGCGTGCGCACCATTTTGTTCACGTCCGTCAGAGTGTGTGGTACCCACCATGCATTCACCTTGCAATAGTGCAGGTGGTATTTCACGATGTCTTCTACACTACCAATACTGATGGACAGCATTACTCCAAGTTCCTTGATAGTGATGCGTCTATTCTCATGAATAAGCGTGTCTGCACGGTCAATCTTTGGCTCGGTGACGGATGTTCGCGGCCAACGATTATGCGGTTCATTCTCCATGTGCTCTCTGCCCTCTCTGAAGCACTTACACCACTCAAACACACAGGTTCATGAGAGACACTCTTCCCCATACCGTTGTTGGAGTCCGTGGTGAATTTCAGCAGACGGGATGTTTTCTCCAAAGAGGAATTTGATCACAATGCGTTGTTCCACGCTCCATGGTACCTTCTGTTCGCTCATCATTCTAGCAACTCCCAGAGAGGACTGAACAGGTTCTTATCTGAACAGGAGGGAGGGTAGAGATTGTGGCTTCACTCTTTCAAGGTCACACAGCTGCTGCGCAGTGCGGCTTGTTTACACACAAATCAGTCCTGGTCATATTTGAACTACGTTGTACATAAGGACTGGTAGGTTATTTTTCAGATATTTTTTATGCCTTATTGTTGAAAATGATAATAATTGTCTTTGGACCTATGTTAGTAATTTAATCATCTTACAGGACTGTGTCAGTCCTCACAGAGCTCATGAGGCAGGAGGCAACAGTTCGGCTGTTTCGGGAGAGACAGGCAGCTTTGCAGCATACACTGCCACTGGGATCATACCTTCTGAAACCTGTGCAGAGGATCCTGAAATACCATCTCTTGCTTCAGGTATTAATTCATACTGATTATTGTTGCTATTTAATAAATGCTGAAAGTAAAACTTTTAGGGATGCATCAGAAGCATTTATAAGTATTTATCCCTGTAGATTCTTCAATTTTATGATAAATTAGTCTGTTTTGGTGTTTCCCCTTTAACCCTTCAGTTATGAAAGTAGTGTTTCCAGAACTGAAACCCTCATGTATGTACATTAAAAAGCTGTAGCAATAATTTTGTTACTAATTTTATAGTGCTAAGGTTTTGACCTCTCATGAAAAACATATAGATGGGAAAGTATATGGTGCAAATGGCAAAAAACTGGAAATATGTGTGCACTTTTTTGATTGAAAACTAAGAGGAGGAATTTACGTTTGAGAAATAAGTTATGAAAACATTGACTGGATTTAAATTACTCATGTTAGGGTCCAATGATAGACTTCTGTGAACAGGATGTTCAGTCTTTGGGTTCCATAAAAGCAAGGAACTTCTTCACCTACTGATAAAACATTAGCCTAGTGGTTAGCACTCCTTCATATCCAAGGGTCTCTGACTGAGATTCTCCACCCCCCAGTTCCGCCGAGGAAATGTTGAGATGGCCTCCATATAGGCTACAACCAATACTATTGTCATCCTTTCCAGTTCATCATTCACAATCACCCTGTTTGACCCCACATAACTCCTGTAATTGAGAAGTCATAAGGTAAGAAAGAAATACTGGTTGGTCAGCCAGTGGGTCACTGCTTTATCATCATCATCATCATCATCATCATCATCATCATCATCATCGTCATCGTCGTCGTCGCCGCCGCCGCCGCCGCCGCCGCCGCCGCCACCGGCACGACAGCCCTTTGTGAGCCCTGCCCTTCCTCAGGATTGCTCGCTATTCTTCTCCATTCGATGCTACATTCCTCCAGTTCTTTACACCCAAAATTCTTATGTCCTGCCACACACATTCTTCCCATCTCAATCTTGGTCTTCCGACTTTCCTGTTTCGTACTGGTTTAGTATGAAGTATTTTCTTAATCGTTCTATTCTCACTGGCACATATTATGTGTCCAGCCCATTCAGACCTTTTCACCTTTTTAAATCCACTAATGTCTGGTTCATTAAATAGTTTGTATAGCTCATGGTTATATCCCTTCCTCCATATTCCATTTTCTTCCACTGGTCCAAAGATACATATCTTAGGATCCTCCTTTCAAATATTCTTAACAGTCTTTCATCTGATCTTGAGAGTGGCCAGGTCTCAGAGACATAAGATAGCACCGATCTTCTAAGTACTTGATACATCATAGTTTCGGTTTTCCTGAGTATTATTTGGGATTTCAGGTGTTTCCTAAGGCCATGGAGACATTTATTTTTCACAAGTACACGCTTTTTTATTTCATCACTGATTTCATTTTTACAGTTAACTTCTGATCCAAGGTAAGTGAAACTACATACAGCCACAAATTTATGTGAGCCAATTTCAATATATGCAGGTCCATTAGCACAGTCTTTCTTGGTTACCGGCATGTACTTTGTTTTATTTTGGTTAATTTGTAGATTCATCTTGTTTGCTGCCCTTTCCAAATTAAGAAAAGCTTCTTTCATAGATTTTTGTGTTCTACCAATTATATCAATATCATCTGCAAATGCCAAAATTTGGACTGACTTATAGAATACACTGCTTTATAATAGATGATATATGAGGGGCTACCCAAAAGAAACCGAACTTATTTTTTTTTAAACTTATTTATTCAAATTTTAAGGACAAACCTTCAATCCCTTTCAAAGTATTCTCCACTTACACTAATACACTTGTCTAGTCTTTTATTCCATTTTTCAAAACATTGTCTAAATTCATCTTTTGAGATGCTTGACAGCGCCTCTGTCGTTTTTTTCCTTCACCTCAGCAACATCAGCAAAACTCTGAAAAAAAGTTTTGATCATTTCGGGACTCTTCTTTCAAAGCACAGCATGCTTCCATGCGACCTTGTTTTTGTTCAGCAGTCAGCAGTCTTGGCACGAATTTTGCAGCCACCCTTTTCATTCCCAAATCTTCTGTTAAATTCGCTGAACTGAGCTCCAAGTCACCCCCGACAGCTCCACAATTTCTTCAATGGTCCGTCGTCGATCTTCCTTGATGATTTCACGAATTTTTTCAACATTTTCATGTGTTCGGGCCATTGCAAAAACGATGATCATACAGAACAGTTGTCACTATAAACTCTGCTCTGCCGAAACTAGTCCTTACCTTCTGAAGCAACGGTAGTTGGCTTATCAACTCAGGAATGTTAGCTCTATGCGCTCATAGAGGCAATACTACAAAAGCTCTGTCCACAAAAAAATTAGTTCGGTTTCTTTTGGGTACCCCATCGTAAAAGAATAAACAGGTAACCAAATCTTAACAACAATTAAATGTTGTTTGCAGAATATAGTGAAGCACTATGTTTATGAAGCGGAGGGATATAAGGACATTGTGGATGCTCTGTCAGCTATGACAGGCATTGCCCATCACATCAACAACATGAAGAGAAGACATGAGCACGCAGTCCGTGTGCAGGAGATTCAGAGTCTTCTCTATGGATGGGAAGGTGAGGACCTAACCACATTTGGAGAGCTGTGTGCAGAGGGAGCATTCCGTGTATATGGAGCTAAAGCTCTGCGGCATGCCTTTCTGTTTGACCGTATGCTGCTCATCACCAAGAAGAAGGAGGAGGGGATTCTCGGCTACAAAACTCACATCATGGTGAGTCATGTGTTACATGCATACTCAGATTTGTGTGGGGTTTAGATTTTGCTGCTGTGGTTACTCAAGGTTGTTCAGCTCAGACAGTATGGTGCTGAGGCTTGGGGAACACTAGTTGTTACATTTATGGTAATGCAAGGAAGAATGCACTGTAGCACATGGACAAAACATGGCTTGAAACCTGGTCTTTTGCCAGTAAAGATTGTTGCTGTGTATTGTGGAACTATGACAGCGTGAGTGTGGCTTATAATGAGGACTTTATTAGAGTAACAAAAACCATTAGGGTTTTTCCCTCTATACCTTTGTCACAATGGAATGTATGTTTAAGATTTTGTTCCCCATCAAACATCTACTGTTTTTTGGTTGATGCTGACTGAAAATTTGAAGAACCTTAGTTATGTCAGTGACAGAAGAACTTAGACTTGAACATGAAGCTAGAAATAATGACTCTTTGTGAAACAGGCAACTGATCACAAAGCAAAATTGGAAGGGTTTATGAATTCACTTCTTTGGCATTTCTATGTGTTATTGAAGAATGAAGAGAAAATGTGGTATCAAGCAGACTAATGGTCCATTTTCATGAGCACATATTGGTAAAGCACATTTCATAACCTTTGATCTGTGACAACGTGATGAACATAAAAGAGATGACCGCTGTGCTACTAGTATAATGTTACAGGCATCAAAAGTAGAAATGGTTTGGATCCTATCCAGGTTTGTTTATAAAGGGGATTGTTTTCATTACAAATGTGGTAACTTAAATTTCATTTGATTGGGTTAGAAAATTAAACTTAAAGGATTCATATACAGTTCAAGTGCCTCTACTGTACATTGTGTGTTCAAGTTCTAAGGTCTCCGATTTTTTTCTCACACAATAATCATCCAAAAAATTTGAAACTTCTGTCACTTTTCAATGTAATCTCCCTGCAGCCGTACACATTTTTCACAACGCCGATGCCATGATTCCATGGCCGCTGCGAACGTTTCTGTATAAGTCTGTTTTGACCACTGGTGGTGAGTCTGTGTGCTTCCATTTAGCTGACTGGCGCTTCGTTTCAGGATTGAAAAATGGCATCCATGTCTCATCCATTGTCACAGTTGATGAAAAGAAAGTCCCATTCATGCTTTCATCACGTGTCAACATCGCCTGGCAAATTGCTATGCGCGCAGCCTTGTGGTCGTCCGCCAGCATTCGTGGCACCGACCTGGAGGACACTTTCCGCATTCGCAGGTCTTCATGCAGGATTGTGTGCACAGATCCCACGGAAATGCCAACTTTGGAGGCGATGTTTTCCACACTCAATCGGCGATCTTCCAAAACAACTTTCTCAACTCGGTCGACCATGTTGTCAGACCGGCTGGGGCAAGGCCGAGATTGTTTTGGTTCGTTGTCACATGACGTTCAGCCTTCTTTGAACTGTCGCACCGACAAACGTACATTTCTCACATTCATGACAACATCACCACATGCCTCACTCAACTGGCGATGCATTTCAATGGGTGTCACACCACGCAAGTGGAGAAAACGAATGATTACTCGCTGTTCTTGTAACGAAAACGTTGCCATTTTAAGTATCAAAAACACTCCTCACTCTCGTCGCCACCACTAGAGTTCTGTGTGCTGTACAGTGCTGCCATCTCTGTCACGCATTCACAAAGAGGACACACGTATTTTAAACTAAACCGCATATGTCTATCTGCTCCCAGTCCTGAGAAAAAAAATCGGAGACCTTAGAACTTGAACGCCCCTCGTATGATACATTTCACAGTTAAGCAATTATGTCAGTGGTTGTTTCACAACCATTTTATATGTACATAACTCCAAAAAATTGTGTGTATTTCAGTCGTGCCACTTAAAACAACCTGTAGCGTAATGGTGTCAGTGAGATTAAAATTGCCTTGGTTGTTAGTCTGTTAACTTCAATTTGATATTAGTCTGTGCATGTCTGCCCCCTAAATTTCAATTGCATATGATACAATGTGGTGCCAAGGTTTGAATTTTTTTTTTGATTGCTAATGGGGTGGGACCAAGTCCCTTGTACTGCGGCCACTTCTGGCCTATTGTACCTGCCCCAGATGATAGGTGAGGGTCATTGTGAAGCAATTGGTGGAATGAAGATTGGCAGGGGAAACCGAAGTACTCGGAGAAAACATGCCCCAGTGCCACTTTGTCCACCAGAATGGTATCATTCATATAGTAAACTGTTTGTCATTTGCTACAGTAGCAGTCATAACACAGTTCTTAAGAGTCAGCATCATGTCTCAAAGTCGTAGTCTTTCCAGCTGCCTTCTCATAGTTACAAATAACAATGTTGAAGCAGCGCAGTTCAGAATATGCCTCAAGAGAATTGACTTTTCATGTGATCATGATAGAGGATAGTACACAATATCGATCTAACACATATTTAGTTGAAGAAAGCAGTCTTCTGGGATTTGGCACAGTGTATAAGTGGTGTTAACCGACGTTTCGGAGGAACGTATCGCCTCCATCTTCAGGGTAGAAGAAAAATATAAGAATTCTGCAAGCGAAGAGACGTGAGAACCGGTAAAAGCAGACTCTTTTANGAGCACACCAAGTGTTGAAATAGAAAGCTTTTTCAAAGAATTCAAATGTATTACTACTCCCGCAGGAAGTTCGAAGTGGGACAACAAATATATGAAATTATAGCCTTAAATTTCCTCTTTAATTTCATGCCAAAAGAATTACTTTACACAAAAAACAGCTGTTCAAAATACCATCTAAAACTTAGAGCTGCAATACGCGTACTCTGCACCAACCCCGGCAGCATGTGAGAGAAACTGCCGGGGTGCAGTGCACCGAGCCCGGAACTGAAGGGTTAAGAAGCACAGTGATCTTATGAAGTGGTTATATCACTGAACGTAATCATGAGAACCTTATTTGTGAAGCCAGTGAAGTCAGCATGCATTATGTGAAAGTGAAGTTCCCACCCAACCTTTGTGTAAAGTTATTTAAATTTCTAAGATGTATGACTGGCACTGATAAGGCAGGTGTGTGGGATGGAAACATTTACATGCCAGATATGAAGAGAATTCTCAGGATTGGTCAGGTGCAAATGCAAGAATGGGCAATTATTTGCTTAGGAGCTGGATTCAGAGATTTTAGAATGTCTGGCACAGAAGTCTTAAGAGAGAACTTCTATAGTTTAAGAAGTTAAATATTTGTCAGCTATTTACAGTGACCGAAAATATTTTTGTGTATAATCTGAATATTCCTGCAGGCTGGATTGAATTTTTCTTGGACCATATTTTGCAGATCCTTTTGCTAAAACTGTGGAGACATATACAGGTGGCAGCATTCTTAGTACACTTTCTAAGACTTTGAAGTTGTCTGTTAAATCTCTGAATCAGTCTTTTCACTTTGTATTCAAGAAGGTAATATGAATATGCTTATATTTAATTTCAGTGCTCAAATCTGATGCTGATAGAGAGTGTTCCTGGAGAGCCATTGAGTTTCCATGTCATCCCATTTGATAACCCAAGACTCCAGTACACACTACAGGTAATAGACTTTAGTATGAAATAGTTTTGACATGAGGTCATCCTCCATTGCTTGATTGAAAGTGACATTTACCAGCTTAGGTAATTATACCTGTTACAGTCTTGCTGACCTTAGCCATTAATCTTCTTAATCAGATTTTAATCAGACCACACTGACAGCTGGATGAATATACCAGAATTTTACTGAAAGCAGTAATTTTCTCACTGTATAAGTCGGATGTATAAATTGAAAGATGAATATGATGATGGGAGGAAGCAAGCAGATTATGCTCTAGCTGACATGTAATTGCCAGTCCTATTGCAGATATAATATTGTTGCTTTTATCAGTGACTAAAATGCGGGGTAAGATTGGCAATTGTACTTATTAACCACCTACAGGTGGTAACTACAAATAATTATTACACTCTTGCTGTTTTTCACACTACAAAGCATATCATGCTAATCTCTTGAGTCTATCTTCACTAGTCTTCATGGACTTATAACACAAGAACTATAAAAGTCTCACTAAATTACACACTCCCAGTATTGATGTACTTTGGCACATGTAATGTCACACAGCCTTCCGATTCTTATTCTGGCCACACTGGCGTTTCCTTGGAACTTCGGAACTCAAGTGAAGTCCATCTATCACTCCTCCAGCTTATGACTGACTTGTAACTGCACCGAATGAATTCTGTCACTCTTACTTATATAGATGCGGAACAGACATGGACCTGCAGTAAACACATGTTATGTGATCGCTATCCAGTCAGTCTATTGGCGTGTAAGTTGGATCTACAGAAAACATGTCTTCCTCTGTTGTTGCATGTTGGACCATGTTTGCAGAGCTGTTGCGTGGCAATGCATTGATCAAATCCATTGCAATATTATAGCATGTAGGCTCATTGCTGGACAAGGTTCCTGAGTAATGGCTTTGCAAACAAACATGTTCAGAAATGATTGAATACAACAATGAGCATCGGTGTTTTCCGTGTGATACTTGCCATGGTGTTATGATCAGGGTAAGTTGGGAACTGAAGTTAGGCAGTCAGTGAAGAGAAGAGTAGGAGATTCGTATGAGATGGCTTCCAACCTGGGAGTTAGTTGAAGCAGTGAGTCAGTTTTGGGATATTCACCAGCTGGTAAGGACATAAGCAGAGGACATCATTGCGATCCATTACCAGGAAATGACTAGTGAAGACATAGAATATTTAAGTATGCTGCAGTTACAGTGATCTCTTAGAGTGTGGTAAACCAGTGAGGCTGTTATAGTTACTTGTAGTTATGAGTTGTGTGTATAAGTGTTAAGTAAGTCAAAATCACCAGTCCAAACCCCATCTATAGTCACACTCGTCACATGACAATATCAGTAGTTCATGTGTGGGCACTTTTGATACAGATATAATCAGTTCCATGGCACAGGAATTTCATATAGCAATTGATAGTTATTCACATGATCAAGAACTTCTGTTATGACGCAGCTAAGCTGAGTGAAGTTACGATCTTTATAACCTGTTTTACTAAGAACCATTTTAATATTGTCTTCAGTTATGTGCTCTGGTCTCTCAGTTGTTCTTTTGCATGGAGGTTTTCCAGGATACTTTTTTTTTTACACATAATACAAAACAAATTTCTTACAAACCCAGTAAATGTAAAAATATTTATATATCTTTTATCTTAGAAAACTACAAATGTGTACGTGCAGTGAATCAGCTGTCATTGTCAGCAAAGCAAACTATGAAGATATAATTTGCACATTGCCCATTCTAATTTAACATTCTACATCAGAATGGTCTTAACAGAGGTGCATATTTTTCAAGTATCTGTCACCTTAACAAATTTCAGGACACTGTGCTTTTAATTAATGTAGTGCAAATTTCATGTCTCACATTCTTCAGATTGCTATAGTGGTCTCTTCAAAGCTAGAAATTAAAAAAAAAAAGTTGTGGCTGGACCTTCTTCAGTTGGAATGACTGTCTTATCGCAGCTTATAAAAATATACGAGTTTGATTAAAAATGCTCATATAAGGACATTAGAAAACATGCTTCTGTCTGTAGACCTGTCTCTTTGGGAGCAATTCTGATGATGTCTAACCTTTTCAGGCCGTGACACAAATCATATATTAAGTAAATCACTTTTCTGGTCCAGAGCTGCACTGAGTCAGACAATTTAAAATTCAAACAAACTGGATTAAAGTGGTACTTCCACATATGCATGAAACTCCAGAGGATTTTTCTGTCAGGTTCAGTACACCATTCAGAAAATTACATCCCAAATAAATATTGGACCAAGTTTGACAATTTAAACTTTCAAAGCAAATGAACTGAATGGGATAGTTTAAAACAAATGGATGTCTGAGGGTTGAAACATTTCTGTTGAAGAAGTATATGAATGAGGTTATTGTAAGATTTGAGGCTTTCATGGTGGTGACTATGAAGAAAGCAGTCTTTTGGGATTTGGACACCATGTATAAGGGGGTTAACACCACTTATACACGGTGCCAAATCCCAAAAGACTGCTTTCTTCAATGAGGTTATTGTTTTGTCTTTTCCAGGCACGCAACCTGGAACAAAAGCGGGAATGGACCTTGCAGTTGAAGCGAGTGATCCTGGAGAATTACAATGCAGTGATCCCATCACATGCTCGGCAACTTGTTATGGAGCTGGGACAGAATCGTACAGATGGTGAGTAATCCCATTATCTGCACATCCTGACAAGAGAGCCAGCAATTTAGCTGTCTGTAATTATTCTTTGTAAGACCAGAGTTATCCATGCAAATAAGCATGAAGACAACTATCAGCAGTGTTTGTGTAGTTCATAAAATTTTTTCTCTTGTTTGAGGAACATAATATTTTTGTCTTTCTGTTGAAATGCATTCTTTCAGTGAAATATGTTACATGGTATAAGTGCTGTAATGCAAGAAGCACCACTGATTGTGTGATTTGTTAAAAGGAGTAACAGCTGATGGATTTCCATCAGTTATTTTTGCATATAAGATTAATACAGACAATGGATCTAAAATCGCAAAATAAAAAAAAAATTTTAGTGTTTTCCTGACACCACATTTAATGACTATTACTGTGATTCATTTGCTAGATTTTTATATGGCCACCATGTGGAGCTAAAGATCATGGTAAGTTAAAAGAGATTTCAAGTGATATATCTCACCTCTTACACCAGCCCTGTCTTACGTGCGAAAGGCTGAAACTTTGATAATGATAATTATCAATCATTATATGATACAGATGAGATTCTGGCTGACAAGGCAACCCCAAAACGCCAGCATTCTGCACCGGAGTACCTGGAGAAGAGAAAGCAAGAAAGAGACAGGCGAAAGTCAGAGACAGGGCTGAGATACCGCCTTCGTCGCAGCAGAAAGTCTGATGTGGGTTCTTCAGGTGGTGGCACAGAGGTGTGTATTGTGTGGTAAGAAGAGAAATGAATTGATATTTGGAATTAATGGAAGGGAAGTTCATGATATGAAACCAGTTGTAATTAGTTCATTTCTCTGATTTTCTCTTATGGTTATGAGTATCTTGGTGATGTATATGTGTGTGTGTGTGCTTTTACACCTCGCTTCTTCTGAGCTCGATAGCTGTCAGCTTGTTCTTTTACAGATGCCTTTGTTTTAGTGTATCTTGATACGTTTTTACTTTTGGTGGTATCTATTTCCACATTTTATTTGGTCATTTGTTTGGCAGTTATTGTGTATATTAGCCATATGTTCTTCATGACTGTGGTCTAAATATTGACTGCAGTGAGAACCTTGATTCTCATATTGGCCGTTATGTTTGAATTGTACTAATCATATCTGCCCCTGTTCTGATCTGTGATCCTGATATACATTCAATAGCTAGTTCATTTGTCATAAAACATTATGTCTGAAGCTTTTGTAAGTGCCTTAGCATTGGGAATTTTTATTTTTCTCTGCTACTTACTGTTGCTGTGGCATTGAGTATCTGCATTGAAATGCCTGACTGTTATATATTCACACTAGTATGTTCATTTATACAGTTTGAGACACTCAAAGAAAACAAAGATTTTAGAATTTTCATACACTTCATAGCCTCAGAAATTTTTTTGGGGGGGGGGCGGGGGGGATTCAGAAGTTTATAGTTGTTCAACCGGTCAAGAAATTCCATGCCCTTTATGGAACACAAACCATGTTTGCAAGAGTCTGCCAGTGGTTCCTAATCTGAGCTAAATGAATCCAGTCCACACATTTACACCCAGTTTATTTATGAATAAGATACAGTTTAATGTTAATGTCTGTGCCTAGCTTTTTGAAGTGGTTTCTTCCATGTTGCTCTTCCATTCACGTTTCCCAATGAAATTTACAAAGTACATACTTGAACAAGAATAGTTATACTATATTTACTGCACAGTTCAACAAGCATAAGTTAAACTTTTAGATGGAGCTAAATGTAGTGGTAATTGGACCATTGACAGGGTGAAAGAATAAGTGGGAAATGGTATACATAGAACAGAAAAAGTTCACTTGGATATAAGAGGAATGCTTATGGGAAGATAGTGGAAAATGTTGTGTAGACTCTCCCCATTATATATCTTATATATCTTATAAATCTTATAAATGGAGGAGGCTCTGTTATCAAAACAACCAGTTATGGTGGAAAGTGATGAAGTTCAAGCATCCAGAACAAAATCATAATTAGCTTTATTTCATGTTATAAACTGTTTGAATGTTGTGGTTCCAGCAAACTTCACCTTTACTGCAAAGACGTGGTCGTAGAGCTTCCAGTAGTAGCCGTGATCACAGTGAAAGCCGAGAAGAGTCCAATCGTTCCACTTCTCCCCATGCAAAAATGAAGGTGAAAAAATTGCCTTATTGATAGGGTCTTAATATTGCCTGCCACATTTTCTAGAATTGATCTGGAATTTCTCTATCCACTAATACTTCATACTCTTCGTCATCACTGTGTCATGAATAACTTTGGAGAGGTAGAGGAGAAAGTGCCTTATTTCTGAAATGAAAACTTTGATTCATATTGCGATTTTCAAATTAATGAGACATACTTCTTAGAAGCATGTGCTCTTCTTAATGCTTTTGCATGTATTTTATGACAAGGGAGGCTCATATTCCATCAGGATCGTAACTCATCATGAGATAAATAAAGAGTTAACCGTATAAGCACTTACAAAAGAAAGTTTATAACTGATTGAAATAAGATCAAGTTCTGATGGTGCAAGTGAACTTGATAACATGTATATTGTTATGTGGAGAACTTTAACACCAGTCTTTTATTTTGATAATTACTTAAAAGGAAAATAAACATAAGCTAATTAATGTTAAGGCATGAAGTTCGAGGGTCAGTCAAAAAGTTTTCGGAATGGTGGTAGAGCACTCTAATGGTAAGACATATGGCAGCGCTTACCTAATCACCTTAAAAGTAGGACTCTTGCGCGTATACACATTTGCTCCATTGATCCTGCCATTGTTGGAGGCAGCGGTGGAAGGCTTCTTTTGGAATCTTCCAGAGCTCAGCCATCACATTCGATTTTTGATGTCCTCCATGGTTGGGAAATGTGTCCCCTTGAAGCCCATTTTCAGAGTAAGGAACAGCCAAAAGTCACTCGGAGCGAGATCCGTAGAGTATGGTGGTTGAGTGATGACAGGAATGTTTTTTTCGGCGAGAAACTGCTGCGCAACAAGCAATGTGTGGCTTGGTGCGTTATCGTGATGCAGAAACCACTGTCCCTGCCACTGGTCACGCTGCTTCCTCCAAATTGCATCGCACAACCTCTGCAAAACTTGCATGTAGAAATGGCCAGTAACAGTACCAACTTCTTGCTCCAATTCCACGATGGTCATTCTTCGATCACATTGAATCAGTTGTCGCACTTTTCCAATCATTTCTTCGATTCTGGATGTCGAAGGTCTCCTGCTGCGCTGGTCATCCTCTTAACGTCTCCTGTCCATTCTTAAACCAGGAAAACCAGTCGTAAACTGCGGATTTCTTTAGTGTAGTATCACCGTAAACTTGCTGCAGGGCCAGTAGCGTCTCTGAAGCAGATTTTCCCAATTTGCACATGAACTTGATGTTCGCACGCTGTTCGAACTGCGACATTGCGCTGAATGATCAACACTCACGTCTAATTCAAACGGAACAGTAATGATACTGCACTCTGAAACCTGTCCAGACCTGTTGCGCCTGCGAGCAGACATGCTGAACTTCCCACCACAACAGTGTGTACGCTATCTTATTGCTGGTTCTCTGTCTGCAGGGGAATTCTGGGAACTTTTTGACTGACCTACCTAATGATAACACATAACCAATCAATGTAATATTTTTTCTCTAACAATAAACGGGATAAGTGACAAATTCAATCAGAATGTACAGAGAAACAGATTTCATACAATGTATTGGTTCCATAATTTGAATTACAGTGCAATATGTTTGTTATTTTCAGGATCGATTTGGCAGTTGGCGTCGCAAATCTGAACCAGGGTGCTATTCAGCAGGAGTCTCCAACAGTAAGAAGTCTCCAAAACTTGCTGTTGCACCTGTTACAGATAACCAGGAGGTGCCTTCAGAAGTTCAAAACGACTTGCATGAGGACATTAGATCAAGGGAAAGGAGAGTTAGTTTGTGTATTGAAAGTAGTTCTGCTGATTTGTGTGAAAATATATGTGGAGGGACTGCTGATGATAGTATTGATAGTGAGTATGATGGGAAATTAGGGACTCATAGTGCAATTATGTGTGAAGAAGGTGGTGATGGGAGGAAGGAGAGCAACGAGGAACAAGCAAAAACACTGGAGGAAATTGTAAGCCAGCTGCTAATGCAAAACCATGAGTTCCAGAAAATTTTAAAGAAACAGCAGCGCCATGTTAACTTGAGGCATCGTCTAACCAATTTTGTTAATGGTACTTCTGCTGGTTGTGGGATGCAGGATGAGACAACAGATACTGAAAATGATGATGAAGATGGAGTATATGAGACATTGAGTATAACTGCTTCAGCTTCTGTGGCTTCTAGACCGGGGGCTACATCAGGACAGAGCTACCGGGCTCACAGACAAGCCCACATGAGAGCACTGCGCAATGAGCAGAAGTCTATTACATCTAAAAGCCATCACTGTGAATCCCCTTTGCTAGAATCTGAGTATGTGACTTTAATGTGCCATAGAGAAGATGAAAATATAGACAGATCTCAATGTTTATCTAATACTAAGTTTAATAAAAAGGTCGATGCAAGTATGGAAGCTGTTGATCCTCTTCGAGGATGTTCTGTGAGTGTTTATACAAGCAGTGCTACAGATGTGGCCAATAAACGAGAGTGGCTGCATAGTCATTCAGCTCCAATTGATGAGAAGAGTGACAGGGAAGGGAGAAGGTGTACTTTTGAATGGGATAAGGATAGAAATGGTTTTGGAAACTATGACAATCTGCAGCATATCTGGGAAAGTGTGCGTAGACAACAGGAGGAGATTAGATGTTTGGCAGAGAGAGAGGAAAGGGGAGAGGGAGGGGATGGTGAAGATATATTGCTGAACCTTCGTCGTACTCGATCTTTCTCGTGCCAGGGAGGAGATGATGATACCCGACAGCAACAGCAGTGCCTCCCATCCTCCATGTCTCAAGCATCTCTGGATGCCACGAACATCCCCACTCTGCCAGCTGTATGGCTGAAGCAACAAGGTGAACATTTAGCTACTCCTAATAAGAAATCAGGATCTCTGCCACGTAGTTTTCAGCTAGGCCATGACATTCACACTCCTCCACATGAAGGAAGTTCCAAGGGAGGATCATTTAGATCTCGCTTACTAACCCGTGATGGACGTTTATGTCCTGACAGGCCTTTCACAATAGCATCAGACAAGCCACCAGAGATTAATTTTGAAGATATTGAACGTTACATAGAAGAGAGTAATACACGTCATGTTAGGCATAGATTCCCTCTGAATGCAGGAGATACTACTGAAGATGACAGTATGACAGACTATACAGCAACTCCAAATACAAGTCTTAATGAATTGAATGTCCATCCTGAATATAAGATCTACAGACCAAGTGTTTCAAAAGCTTCTCTAAAACATGTGATCTCAAGTGTTAGCAACAAGCTTGCTGGGATGAGAATGAGTTCTGAGACTCTTGAGTCAAATGATGGTGAGGTGGAACATGAACGGCTGTTGCAGAAAGAGCGACGTGCAAGTAAGCTTGTATATGCCTTGGCAAGGCAGTATAGCAAGACCTTAAAACAGCGAATACGCAACATCATGGGTGAGGATTCTACAGAGGAATATTATGATGTAGTTCAACATCAAACTCCATCACCCGTGCAGACTTGTGCTCCAGTGTTGCCCATCTACAAGCAAGGAAGCTCAAGTCTTGGAGCTCGCATTGCCCATTGCTCCTCAGAATATGCAGACCCACGACAACTCTACCCAAACATTCCACCACCCCCTGAAGCAATGCGCAAAACATCAGATATGCGGCCTGATTCTGTACTTTCAGTTTCATCCCACTTTACAGCATCTTCTAGTGAAGGAGAGAAGACCTCTGGTTTAGGTGGAAGTTTAGATACAACTCATCCATCCTCTGTTTCCACCAGTACTATAGCACCTTGTAACAGTTCTCATGAATCTGTGCAGGGGAGGGCTGATGATGTTAATCTAAGTGATGGCTCTGCAGATAGCTATTATGAGCGTTCCTTTGAAGCAATAGAGTCATTTCTAGAAAATGAAATGTTTAGAGATTCTGCGGTGTTCAGTGATCATGAAGAACTTACAGATTCTTCTCAAACCTATAAAGACTGCAACATTTTTTGTGGAAATGATGACAGTGTCCCACCTCTTAGGTCAACTAAGAACTATAAAATTCCACCACCTGTCCCTGTAAAACCAGATGTTTTGAAGAACAAGCCCACATCCCACATGCCAGGATCTAAACCAGGGATTTTTGAAAAGGTGAAGAGTTTGGAAGAGAATTGTAGGTATCAGAAAGAAGGCAATCTTGTGCGTAGTCTTGAGGGTATTAGTAAATCAATCCTGGATCGTCGCCGTGAGCTGGAGCTGTGGAAGGCAAATGGTAACTCCTTATCCAGGGATGATGAGTGTGACACAAGTTCCCAACATTCCACTGCCTCTACTGTCATAGAAGTCAGCCCCTGTAAGGAATCCAAGGATTTCTCTGAGGAATCGGAAGAAAGTGGCACTCCAAGGGGATGGGTGAAACATGTAATAGGCAAGCTACAAGGGAGTCCCACTGATGGACTACAGCAGAGAGATCAGTGTTAGTAAAGACTCCTGACTGAATGGTAGTCATAAGATTGTAGATTTTAAACTGTACGTATATATATTATTTTACAGAATCTAGTATATGACTCGGTTTCTAAAACTGATGATAATTTGAACCTATTTTGTTGATTCAAATTATTGTTTGTCTATGATGTATTATAGGTTATGATTATGTTGCAACTTTCTTATTTGTTTATTTATACATTCAGTTTTTTTAAAAAAAAGGATAACAGTACTGTCTTCATTGGCAACTATTAGTTTATATCAAGTTTGACAAAAGCACAAAATAGGGACAGGAGCAAAAAAATATAAGTTTAACCAAGGTACGTTTTAACTTGAGACTAGAAGAGATTGACATGGTATCACATGAATCTTTCATTCTCATGAATGATAGTTTCTTTGCATACATTGAGAACTGAAAGTATGTGACAATAACTGAACATAACTTCCAACCACTGATATGGAAGAACAAAACTGGAACAATAAGAAGTTGCCTCCATAGTACATAGGATTTTGAAGCCCTTACATTTTTCATACTAGGAGCTAGGTTTATAAATGTTGTCACATGCTCTGTGAAACTGCTAGGATACAGTATCTTTTAAAACTTATTCAGACAAATTTTTAAACTTCATCAAGTTAACAGAGGAAGAATATTGTGACAGTTGAATTTGGAAGTAAATATGATTAAAGGTGTCTGACTCATTTAGGTAAGCACTACTAGTCATGTTTTATAGTTAATGGTTATGTTAGCAATAAAAGACAAATTTATTTCCATATTTTTAATAGTGTGGCAAAGTGGTTTATTTATAAATATGCAGTTCACCCTGTTGTTCCATCCTGTGTAGTTATATTATGCAAGAGTCCCTTTCCAATTATGTAGTACTTCTTGGTGAGTGTAGGTATACATTTAAAATTGTACAAGTACTGATCATATTGTTTGCTAAAAGTGTGGCAGTCCACTTAGCGTACTGATATGACTGTTGGTCATTTTTCCAAAATATTATTGCCATTTTTTAAAAAACATAAAGATGCTAGTAATGAGTAGTCATTCCTAACCTAAATCAGATTGTAGATAACTGTTAAAAATTCTCACAAAAAACAAGTGTAGCATTGCACTTATGTTGCAATGCAATGCATTGAGGTTTTATTTACAACATTAAATGTATTTTAATATTTTTGTCATACTCCAATGTGAATGCTAAATCAAGTTTTTGTATAGGGTTATTACAAATGGAGTAAGACTTCCAGAAATTTATTTTAGCAGTGTAATAGTTCTACAGAATTTATAGTAGTATAATTAGATACAGTAGCTGAAAATTTCTGTAACTGCATAGATCCTGAGCTGGTTATTTGGCAACATAAAAAAAAAATCAAACTCATTGGAATATGATATGAAATGAACAGTTACATGAAGAGCACAGCATACTGTTGCTTTTGATCATCTGTCAATGTGAGTTGTGCAAAGAGTATAGCGAATAATCATTATTCATATCCTTTTGTGTTGAAAGTACTTACACACTATTACAGGGATGTAACATTTCTTCAGATAAGGCAGATCCCTTGCTTTAGAAGACAAAATTAAGAGTACAATTAGAAATTTCTACAAAATTTTTCTTTAAAATTCTCAGAATAAAAAATAAAATTTAAACACACAAATTGTATTATACTAATCAATATAAAACTGTTTAGAAACATACCAAGGTCTGTAAGGCATCATGAAAAATAAGAATACCCAAGTTTTAATTATTGAAGCATCTTGATGCATGTGTATGAGAAACACACTGAAGCCCTGTAGTGAAAGTTTGAGATGTGATTCCCTGTAGGTGCAGGGGCCTTTTATCTTTTTACCACATTCATAACAGATCTGGGGCCCACCCTGCCTTAAGTTCATTGGGTATCAGTGGTTATATGCCTTGGAAAAAAGCAGCCACAGCCTGAAGCTAGCCACTCAGCTGCATAGTACTGAGGTCTGTAATGTATGGAACCTTAGCTATAGGCCTTGTTGATGCACTGCTTGACACAAAGGTAATCATATTGTTTTCCCATTTACATTTATCTCCATATTATTAATTTTGCCTAAGGCAAAGAAACCAGTTCGTTGATAGCAAAGTCCTTGTGAGTTATATATCTGTAGCAGCTAATGTTTTAAGTACACTACCAGTATCAGTTTTCTAGAGCTCTTACTGAGGGTTGCAGGTGTGCCTCTGTTCTATGATCTGGAGGAAAACATGATTTGTTTATGTCTGTAGATAGAGAATGCAGAGGTTAGGGTCAGTGTTTTCTGTTGTGTGAATGCCTTCCACACTGTACTGAGATCTTTCAACAGCAGAGATAGGTAGTGCAAGGATCAGAAAATCTGAAGTGGACAATGTAAATCCACCAACTGTAAAAAGGAATTGTTTTATTAATGAAGTTTAAGAGTTTGTCACTTGTAGATTCCAGAAAAAAAAATATGTTAAACAGTAAATGTTTCCTTTTCCTGATTATTCCATTATGAGGAGTGATCATTAGGTTTTATAGTAAGAGTACAGGACCAAGGTGATACAAGTAAGTACACTATATATAGAGGAATATATAATTTGGTAGTAAATTTTAAATGATGGATGTCCAAGGCTGAAGTCACTTTGTTTGTGTGTGAGATCCCTATAACTTGCATAACTAGTTCAGATATTTCTGGTCTCAAAACATCTTCAGCACATTCATGCCGAGAAATATATTTTTATGATCCAACTGAGTTATGATTGCATCTTGATCATAATATGATGTTTCCCTGTTACTGTTAGTTTCTAGTAATTGCTATATTTCTGGCAATTGTTGACCTAAAGTTTGATGGTGGTGCTTGTAATAGTCTCATGTGCGCAGTACTTAACTGAGGCAAGACTCAACAAATCTTACATTATATGTCCTACCTTGTCGCTGTTCCACTTACCTTCATTGAAAGTAAATATTATTGGTAGTTACTCATTTCACTTTCACAGGGTTCAGCATTGCACAAACACTGCTAATTATGAGGTCTATTCGTCCATTAGCAGAGAAGTTTTTAAATTATGTGATTGCAGAATTTTGTGTTATGTCTGTTGATCGCGTCTTCATTTATAGGGCATTTTGAGACTCTGAGTAGTTTGATAATCCCTGTTTCTTTTTTATAAATGGTTCTGTGGCAAAAATATATCTAAAATGTTGCCTTCATCTTATTCCTTCCTGTTTGGTTCTTTAGTTTTCTGCCCCTACACTTTTCATATGAACCTGATGGAGGTAATTCATAATAACTGTGGCATGAATGTTTCCATGTGGATTATTTCATTTCTGTGTATTATGTTGTATTACAGTCAGCTCTGAAATATCACAAATATATAAATAATATAATATGATATGTTAAAATTGTAGGAATACTTTGAGTTGATGAATTTATGTTAACACTGTGTACAATTGCTGCTACAGTGATCAATTTGTCACACTTAATCTAATTCAGATGAATAATACAAACTGTATTACACAGAGTTCTCAACTGTTGGTGTAGATATGCAAAATTGGAATGTGTAAAGTTCATAGCTATTTATTTTTTTTCAGTTTATAATAAAAGAGGGCAGTGCATGGCTTATGAGTCTGCAGTGACATAAGTTACCAAATGAAGTGTGGTATGTTACGTTTCTTCTGGAACTTCATGACTAGTAATGTTGAATTATTAAGTGTGACTATGGCCCTGGGGTTCACTCAGCCTCTAACAGAAATGAGTATCAGGAATTAAATAAATAATTTTCCTGGGGAGTAAAGCGCGGCCAGTGTGTAAGGCTGACAACCTTACCGCCATCTTTGAGCGAATTGTCTAGATAATGTGGGACCCTCAACGTCTCACAACCCTATGGGCCTTCACGGCCTGGTACAGGGATAGCTTTACTTTTTTTTTTTTTACTTACACCTAAATTAGTATATGCAGCAAACAAAAATGTTATTTTTCATTTTAAGTAGCATTCAAAAGACTCTTTTAATGAGGTGTTTTGGAGTTGTGTATTTAATGAACTGGATTAAGATAGTTATTTGTTTTACCTAATACAAGTCCAAGACAGCGTTATCACATTGTTTTCATTAAGTCTAGTTGTGAACCAGCTATTTAGTGATCAAAAGTACCCTTGGAAAATTATGGACTGAAAACCGCTATATTGTGGCGCCAAAATTATGGATGAAACACAGATAAGATGGTAGTCTGCATATCAAATTCTCTTCAGGAAGAACATGTTGAGAACCATTGTATTGTGGTAGGATAATTATGTATGAAACATAGATGAGGTAGTTTACATATCAAATTCCTTCTTAAATGTTAATGTTTCTCACAAAGTTTTGAACTGTTACTAATATTTTGTCAGACATATAATATTATGCTAGTATGTTGAATTTGTGGTCTATGCAAAATGTTGAACTCCAACATAATAGTCTCTTCGTAAGTAATCTAAAATTAACGAGAAAGAATTGACAAGACTGAAAGCAGCATTGAGCATAACTTGAGTGAAACAGCATGGTTGGATGTCACATTGAATACAACCCTTTTGCCTACTGTGACTCCTGTCATTTTACAAGGTTTACCCTTTTCTCTGTCATGCTCTTGTCTGTTACATTAGTGCCTGTGTCTCATAATGACATATGTAGGTATAAATGGGAGTCAATTTCTTTGCCTGTTTATTTCTATTCTTGTCATTTATTTTGGGATATTTTTGAAATGATAGTTTTATATTACTGTACGTGTGAAAATGCTGGTGAGATGATCATGTGACTGAAAAAAGTTATGTCACTGAATTTCTAACAGAAAAAGAAATATACAAGTTAAAATAGAGGGTGTGGTTTTGACTGAAGTTAACTGAAAATAGAGTCAGAAAACAAACACTTCTGTTCACTTCAGAGTCTTTGGTAGATATTTTTGATTTCCTGTGTATGACAAATTCAGTATCCTTATGTCTCCAGTGGTCTGTCATGTACAGTCTAAACAGATAACTATTTGAATAATACACAGTCTAAACTATCTGTCACCTCTGTAATAATTAGACTTTCTGTATGTGCATGCAGATCAAAATCAGGTGGGAAGAACATTGTGCTAAAAAATTCTTTCACCATTTGGATGTCAAAAAAATTATGTTGAGTTAACGTACTGTAGTACAATTTAATAGTATTATTCACATTTTCTTCTGTTGCTGCTTCCTTAGAAACTAAAAAAGAAGTGCCAAACTCAAATGTAAAACATTTGAATTGCTGTCAGTCTCTTGTGTTATGTGCTATAGGTTATTGCATGCAAGAGACCAGCAATTTGCCATGAGTTGGAAGGGAAGTGGCTCCAAGTCAATATTCTTTTTTCAAGCTTTTGGTATGGATATGGTCTAATTAGATATGTGTTTTATTTGTATATACCTAAGTCAGTTGAGTATTACTGCCTATAGTTGTAGTTCATGTCATTGTCAACATGGCTGTAATTTGAATATGATAATCAGTTTTCAAGAGTGTAATGAATAAGCTAATGTTTTCTTATGTGCCACAAGAATGAAGATAGTACCAGAACAAAAACGGGAACATATATTAAGATTTAATTTGATTAGCTAGCATTTCCCTGTAATTTGTATGGGAATGTTACTGTGATTTTTTTCTGCAGAATATAGGACAAGCACAGGACGTCATTAAATTTGAACATGCAAATTATAAACATCCAGATATATGAATTATGCTGTGATCTATCTTAATACTTCATTGGTTAAGTCATGTGGATTGCAGTTTGTATGTACAAACTGGTCATTGTTGTCAGGAACTGTTATTTGAAATCAGCAGTTTTGAAACAAAAGTGGTTGTAATAACACATACCAGTGAAGGACAAATGCTGCCATGCAGGGGGTGTTTGTTTGATATGACACTTCACTGGTTAATGGATATCCAATGAAGAGGGCAGTACAAACATTCAAGTAAGTAGGACTGTTTAGTGTCTTTTTATTTATTTATTTTTTAATTGTACTTCTGTTGCTACAGTAATGCTGTCTGCTGGTCATTCCAGGTGTACTCTGTTTTAGGTTATTTATGCATTACATAGGCTGTTGTAGGCTTGGGAATGGTACCGTGAGTTGTAACATCATGTCTGTTGGATATTAAAGTTCTGAGCTGCAGATTTTGGAATGTAATGCATTTGTAACATATAAACTTTCTGTATGGTTTTAACTGTGAAAGACTAAAAAGTTTTGGATGTGTGCTCATTCTCACAGTGTGAGAGGAGTCTTTTAGATCATTTACTTCTGACTTGCCTGTTGAATATACTGTTTGTTCTAATTTTTTCTGTCCTAGTGTAAAATTTGTTTTCCCCTGTAAATAAATTGAAAGAAAACACCTTTTTAGTTGATTTTTGTGTGTACTTCAATAATTATGGTAATTATGTCCTGGTACTATCTTTTGTTGTTATAAACTGTGATATTGATTTTCATACAGAGTACCACATGAGCATTGTCATTATTGGTACTGATATTTTTATCATTTTAATTTTGCATCTATATACTTTGCTCACACATGTGATTTGAGTTAGATGGGCCATGATATCCCATTAATGTCTTGAAAGAGCAGAATAGATTTTTAAAACAAATTCAGTATGAAAGAAAATTACTGTGAAGTTCTGCCAATTTTGTGAATAGAGTTCATGGTCTAATTTGCAAATAAATTAAATTGCTGACAAATTCTCTTCTTAGACATGGATATGTTTAAAATGAAATTTTGTTACACAGGATTTTTATAAATGCAATATTTATGTCCTTGTAAAATGACCGAAGCATTTGTTATGTGCTGAAAATCAATCAAAAGGCAGTCAGTGTACTGGTTTGCTACTGTTGCTAACAGAAGTTTGCCAGTGTTTAGAACTGGTATTTGTAAGTATTTGCAGTGATATCAGACTGTAGGTAGTGACTGGTTTTATATATATGAAATAAATTGGACTGCCAATACATGAAGACAATACAGTTAGTTGTATGTTAATGTTTAGTGTTAGTAGTCACCATTATATCTGTAGTGTTAACAATAGTAATGCAATTCACTGTTGCATTTTACTGTATAAGTTTATTTTTAAGTTAGATCATTAGTGTAATTGCCCTATTTTTTTGTAGCAACAATCAAATAACCTTAAGTAAGAGTTATCATTAAACATACTTAAATTATATAAGGCCTGTAATGTTAATTTTTTTTACTAAAGAAATATGTAAATTTAATTAATATTATATAATAAATTTTATTGTGAAATGAAAGTATGTTTCCTGAAAAGGCTTACATTTCACCTAAACCTTCAATAATTTTGGGTGGGGTATAGAAGAAGAAGAAGAAGAAGAAAAAAAGGAACATTGCTGAGCAGTGAGTAAAGTACCTAATTCCTAAATATGGAAGGGCTCTTTCTTGGATTCTCAAGGTCAGCATGCTTTCATCACATTTTTATCCACAGTTTGCCTTAATGTCCACATCAGCTGGAGATGAGTTTGATCATGATGGTGCCAAAAAGAAAACAATTTTCAAAACAGTTGTTTTGAAAATTGTTTTCTTTTTGGCACCATCAGTGTCAGCCTTGTGTCAAGGACAAAATATCTTCTGGGCTCTGTCACTGTGAGGACCTCCACTATAACTGAATCCCATAGAATTTAATACAGGAGATATTTTTCTTTTATCAGTACAGGATATAATACTTGAAATTGAAAGTCCAGCAACAAAGGAAAATTGCAGATTAGGCATGATGAGAATTGGCCTGTTCAGGCTACCATCTGGGGAAAGACCCTATCTTCTGGGACCTCTTATCATCACAGAAGAACATTAGAAGAGTATCCTTTCAATAAGCATGGAATGCTACAAATCACCCAATAGTAATTAACATTGTAGTACTCTTAGTTGTGCCACTGTATAGTTTTGTAGGTGGTTTTCAACTTCCTGGGAAAACCCTCTGCCTCCATTTATACCTTGAAGATGAATTTAAAAGGTTCCTCTGTAGTGGTGGTAACCATCTACAAGACTGTATATTGTAATAAGCCAGAAGATCTTTGTCATAATTCTCAGTGCCACAAGAACCCTTTATTTCACCCAGTAATAAGTCTACATTGTTGATAAATTACAAATTCAGAACCCACTGTGAGAATTACTGTTTATGGTTGTCATAACTGTTTATGGTTGTTCAGTGGAATTTTCATTCAGTTACTTAAAGAATGAAATGTCAGAATGGAATTTCCACCCAAGTGGATAGCTGCCTACTGGAGCATCCTTGCCCCTAGACATGTGCGTACATACTGGATTCCGTATATAAGAGTGAAAATGATCCATTAGGCCTTCCTCATGGGTTTCTTTGGATGAGGGAGTGGTCAGTTGTGAGACCTTTACTGATATGGTAATAAACTGCAGAAAATCTGACTAGTCTGTGAACTGAAAAGTTTGATACCCAAAATTCCAGTGTTACTTGTTTGCATGGCTGCTGTGCAGTACAGCTAATTAGGTGGATGCAAATTCTTTAGTAATTCATAGAAATTAAATTCTGTGTTTTAATAAATATATTTTATGTTGTTTTTATACAAGAGAGAAGAAGAAGAAGAGTAGAGCTCCTTCTGTGTTATATTTTAAATACCACTGGAAGCGTTGTACATGTGGAATATTAATCTTATGTCTCAGTACAATTCATATTCAAGAGCAACACCTGAGACTATGCGAGTGATAACAGAGTGTCCGAGCACAGTTGAAGCAAATTTGGAAATATGTATTGTTGAATACGTCATTAATAGACACTGCTCTGAATATAGACTTGCTATGTGATAAAACATATACACTGAACAGTGAAACATTTTAATATGTGAATTAATTCCTTTATTTCTTGCTCTCCAGATTCTAACAGTGTCCAGAGTGTGATGAGAGTTCCTTATGATGACACCTCATCCTGCAAGTTAGCTGCACGACTTATGTAAGAATACACTTTTTCTGAAAAGTTATGGTGTGTAGATGCAGGATAAATTTCCACAAAGAAGCCTGAGTTTATTCTGCCATTTGCTGCTTAAAAAGTGAGTTTTAAGGAAATATATTTAACTGAAGAAGATGGGGTCTCCCAGATTTCTTCATTATGATCTTCCTTTCAGATTACATGTGTGGTATTCGGTTGTTGTTACTTGTGGTTCCTATAATTAAGGACACATTTTAAAATACTTTATTCATGAAACTTTATTGTATCTCATTCAGTCATTATGGTATAGTGATAACATAGTTGTAATGCGTGAAACAGATGGGAAGAAAACACAATGTTATATGTATGCTGTTTAGTCAGCATCCTGCAGAAAGTATGGGCCTTTCCTATTCATGATTCTTACTAGGAAGGAAATAATTGCATTCTTAAGTCACCTTGTTCTGTATTTGAAATATTTAAAGAAAAAGAACAAAATCAGAAAACTTCACAGAAATTAATAGTAATAGAGAAATGTTGCTTATATTGATCAGAGTCTGAAGATTGCTTTTATGTGAACCTGACTTCATTTGATGATAGTTTTTCTTTGTGCCTTTTTGTTTCTCGCTTCGAGATGCACTCGAGGCCACAGTGATATCGATTACTCAAGGCTACGACCAAACCTCATATGGCCATAATCATCAAATTGTTCGCGCTTCCCAAACCGCATATGACCATAATCATCTGATTGGCGTTTATTGAAATCTATAATTTCATCGTCTATTACAAAGTCGTTGAGAACGTCTGCGGCGGGTTCCAGGGGCACCAACCTTGCCCTCATATATTGCGATTCTCGAGGGGGCGTCTGAAGAAATGAACGACCGCGTGTTCTTTGGCCAGGTCCTTCCAGACTGTTACCTCCAGCTGCGCCCACGTCAGAACCGGATGGAGCGGCATGCGCTGCTGCGTGGTATTGGTGCAGCAGAACGAGATAGACCCCTAGTGTCAGTACTAAAGTTGCTATCGTAGTGCTGGCCATCATTCCCTCTGCAACCACGAGAGGAAACAGTAAAGATTCAAATGTTTCATACAGTTTTCTGTTGTTGCAATTTTTCTGAATGTCGTACGAAACCTCACTCGCCGTGGATCATTTCTTCCCATAATACGAACAAGTCGTTTGACTGCTTTCTATTAAAATGGGAAGATATGAGTATTATCGTAGGTATCACCACACCATACAGACTGAACGCCCCGTCCACCCCTGTAGTTCGCTCCGTTGCCTTGCTCGTACTGGTGTTGCACACAGAGGCGTAGTTCTAAAAACTGGAACGCAGTTCTGGGCTGAAGAAAATGGTCATTAATCATGATGTGGTTCCATTTTTTGTTACTCAGTGATAGCTTTGCACTTTTAAACGCAGAATTGGACGAACAGTTCAAGAAACTCGTGTGTTGAAAGAGGCCGACGCTTGCAGCTCAAACAGAGGGCTTGAAATGAAAATAAGTAGTATTTTATTTATGTCTGATATCGTTGAAATGCCAGGGCGACACTCCAGAACTCAGAATGGCACTAGGGCACCACATGTACCGTCCTAGCCCTACGGCGGTCGTGCTTTCATAATAGCCAGTTTCAGGTGTTTGAGGAGGAAATTAAAGAGGAGACTGAACTCGATTATGCTTGCTACCATTCAGTCCCGAACCTTTTGTCTTCTCGTCTGCTGTCCAAGAATATAAAAATAAAATATATAGAACTATAATTTTGCCTGTGGTTCTATATGGGCGTGAAACTTGGTCTCTGAAACTAAGGGAGGAACATAGACTGAGGGTGTTTGAGAACAGGGCGTTGAGAATATTTGGACCGAAGAGAGATGAAGTGACAGGAGGTTGGAGAAAACTTCATTATGACGAGCTTCATAATTTGTACTCTTCACAAAGTATAATTAGAATGATCAAGTCAAGGAGGATGAGGTGTGTAGGCATGTAGCACGAATGGGGCGAAGAGGAACGCATATAGGATATTGGGAAAACAAGAAGGAAAGAGACCATTGGGAAGACCAAGGCGTAGGTGGCTGGATAATATTAAAATCGATCTTAGAGAGAGAG